TTGATTGATTGATTGAACATTTAAAGGGAAAGCACAAGGGTACAAATATATGCATGCTGGTTGTCTTATAAACCTTCAATATGAAAGAATAAGTCGGTTGGATTAACACAATTAAATCAAGTACATCGATTGCATGAAATTAGATTATGTTTTGGTTTTATAACTTCAATATTTAATGTCATCATGATAAATACATGTTGTTAGAACAAGAAATGATCATGTTTTACTAACATGTATTTAACACATAATTCACAAAAACATTGATATCATTTTCATAACTTCACCAAAGGCCCTTTTTAGTGTGTCTGTACCAGAGCGTTGCTTTCCGATGCTAAATTGAAGATTTCACCGAATTGTGACCTTTACCCTCTTGCTGTTTAACCTTCCCCTCACCCTCATCCTAACCTTAACCCACTCGCACATGCAAAACTTTGATTCTAGTTGTATCGTTCCTCTCAAACACGGTTAGCGGGAAATTTAAAAGGAGAAATTGGTTAAGGTTAGGATGGGGATGAGGGGATGGTTAAATTGCTAGAGGCTACAGGTAAAATGTCGGTGAAATATCCGTTTTACCGCGAGTGCCGGAAAGAAACACTTGGTCACCCTTCGTCAGTTTTAGCCGCTTCGGGTGTGAGAATGTGTTGCTGATACGGGCTGTTAGGTCCTGGTATGACCGGTGTCAGCGCTTGGTCTGCAGTGCCGGCCAGGGTTGTGCCTGAATGAACGATCGTTTGTGAATTTATTCATTTTTTTCGTGAACGTGATCTGAACTCGTTCTTATTTTGCCTGACGAACGTAAAAGTGAGTGCGTTCGTCCTGGCGTGCGTGAACCGGTTTATGAATGAGTTCTTTCACCGCTCTAGTTCCAGATCTCCACAGAGCTTTTCCGGAGCTATAGCCTAGCTAAAACGTCCTGTTAACCATAGAGTTTATAAAAAGTAGAACCCGCAAATGCGCCCAAACATAGGCAGTAGCGGTTGTTGCGGCGTCTACCCTTCTATGTCTACGCTGTGTGCAGGAGTCAAAGTTCATTCAGAAAAATTGAAACGGGACTTAACTGAAAGATTATACTTTTTTTTATGTTTTGCACTTTTAAAATTGTATTTTGAGTTTGCCTCAGCCTGCCTCCTAAGATTGTTTAATAATTTCCCATAAAAATAATGTTTTCCTCATGTTTTTGAGAATATACTGTAGGGTAAAAACTGCAGCTGGGCATGAGTGTGGCTTAAACGGGTGCCAACTGTTGGAAATTTATTTCATAAGTTATATATATATATATATATATATATATATATATATATATATATATATATATATATATATATATATACATATGTGAGAAAAAAGAACTATTAACTAGTTCGTTTTTGGAATGTGATTTCAGTTCCAAATTTTTTTAATTATGAACTAAGAAACAAACTAGTTTGTTTTAAAATGTATGAACTGAACTTTGAACTTGTTTGTTTTTTTAAACAAACTTTGATAAATGATAAATGACCCGCACTTGTATAGCGCCTCTCAGAGTAAGGACTCCAAAGCGCTTTACACTACAGTGTATCATTCATCCATTCACACACACATTCACACACTGGTGGGGATGAGCTACGATGTAGCCACAGCTGCCCTGGGGCGCACTGACAGAGGGGAGGCTGCCGAGCAGAGGCGCCACCGGTCCCTCCGACCACCACCAGCAGGCAAGGCGGGATCGAACCTGCAACCTTCTGATTACTGGACAACCCGCTCAACCTGTTGAGCTGCTGCTGCCCCAACTTTCCCAACACTGTTGCCGGCAGTAAGTCGGGCTCGATCCCAGTGAGAGATGGACTCCACCAAGGCTGCCCTTTGTCACGATTCTGTTCAAAACTTTTATTAACAGGATTTTTAGGGTCAGCCAAGGTGTTGAGGAGAGCCGTATTTGGTGGCCAAAGGATCAGGTATCTGCTTTTTGCAGATGATGTGGTCCTGTTGGCTTCATCAGACTGGATCTAGGGCTCTCACTGGAGCGGTTCGCAGGCGAGTGTGAAGCAGCTGGGATGAGAATCAGCTCCTCTAAATCCAAGACCATGGTCTTGAGTCGGAAAAGGGTAGAATGCCTTCTCAGCGGTAAGATATGAGGTCCTGCCTCAAGTGGAGGAATTTAAGAATCCTGGGGTCTTGTTCATGACTGTTAGCCTGGCCATGCTCCAATGACGGCTCTCGGTTGTGGGGCGGGTTCTACCGTTGTCTTTCAAATGATCTCCGCATTCCACTGGACAATGAATGTGACATACTCTTGTTTCACTCTGTTGCATCATCCCACCCACCAGGCGTATAGAGTGCCCTGATTGGCCCACAAAGCAGATAAAGCTCTGTGATTTGTTCACTAAGCAGATAGAGCACTATGATTGGCCCACCATTATGGACCAATCACAGCTCTTTATGTGTTTGAAACCCCTCTAGAGAGCTGTGATTGGCCAGCCAGAGTCCTGGTAGGAGCTGTGGAGGTTCCAATGGAGCATGCCTAGACCAAACTTTGCAAAGCAAGAATTTGGTCTAGTTCACTAGGCTACATGAGTGAGGGAAAAAATAGAGCGTGAGACTGATAGGCGGATTGGTGCTGCATCCGCAGTGATGCGGGCTTTGTACCGGTCAACCTACGTTCCTACCCTCACCTATGGAGACAGAATGAGATCACGGACACAAGCAGCCGAAATGAGTTTTCTCTGCAGGGTGAATTGGACTCTCCCAGAGATAGGGAGAGAGGCTTGGTCATTCAGGAGGGGCTCGGAGTAGACCCGCTGCTCCTCCTCATCGAGATGAGACAGTTGAGGCGGCTCGAGCATCTAGTCAGGATGCCTCCTGGACGCCTCCCTGGTGAGGTTTTCCGGACACATCCAGCTGGGAGGAGACCCAAGGGAAGACCCAGGACACGCTGGAGGTATGTCTCTTGGCATGCCAGGGAATGCCTTAGGGTTCCCCAGGAGGAGCTGGTCCAAGTGGCTGGGGAGAGGGAAGTCTGGGCCTCTCGGCTTAGACTGCTGCCCTCGTGGGCCGACTCTGGATAAGCGGTTGAAAATGGATGGATGTGGAATTTTGCATATTAGAGCTTTTTTAACAAGCCAGCTATACAGCTGTATTATTATTATTATTATTATTATTATCATTGCTATTATTGTTATTATTATTATTGCTATTATTGTTATTATTATATTTTTTTTGTATATTTGTATGCTTTCACTGAAGTGCCAGAATCAATCCATGCTTCTAAGGCAGTTTCAGGGTTAGTTTATGGAAAGCGTCCTTCTGATGATGTGGGCACTTCCGAGAAGAACAATCTTCTGGATTTCTTGGACTGTTGGGTTTCCAGGAATCTGTTTTGTTCTCTTTTCCAGTCCCTTCTTGATGAGGCCAAGTGCGCCCACTACGACGGGTATTGTTGTTGTCTTCATCCCCCACAGTCTTGTGACTTCTATTTCCAGATCCTTGTACTTTGATAGCTTTTCAAGCTCCTTGGTGGTGAAATTTTTTTCAGATGGGATGGTCATATCAATCATGAGGCAGGTCTTCTCTTCTTTGTTTTTGATGGTTATGTCTGGTCTGTTGGCCATGATTTCTCTGTCTGTGTTGATTGGCATGTCCCACAACACTGTGATGTTGTTGTTTTCAGTCACTGTTGGTGGTTGGTGTTCATACCACTTATCTGCAGCTGGTAGATGGAAATGTTTGCACATCTTCCAGTGGATATAGCTTGCTGCCCTGTCGTGTCTGTGGATGTACTCAGTTCTGGCTAGAGTGGGGCAGCCTGAGAGAATGTGGTCAATGGTTTCTTCATATTGGCTGCACATTCTACACATGGGGTCTGTTCCGTCTTTAATGATCTTGTGGTGATATGATCTCGTTGACAGGCTCTGGTCTTGTGCTGCTATCAACAATCCTTCACTTTCTGCCTTCAGTCCTGCACTGCGAAGCCACTGATGAGTATGATCTTGTTCTACATCTGCTTTTTTTACTCTCAAGGGGTATTGTCCATGCATTGGTTTTTCCTCCCATGTTTCTCTCATCCTTTTTTGTGCCCATTTCTTTGCCTCCCTTCTGGTCCTCTTGGCAAAGCTTGTCACTGTTTCTTTCTCTATTCTTGCCACCTCTGGGATGTTTAGCTCCTGTGCATATCTTGTAGCTTCGTTTGTAACAGAGTACAGCTTCTTTCGAGCTTCATGTTGACAAACGAGGATCAGTGGGGCATCGCCTGTTGTTTCAAGGTAGGTTTTCAATGCCATTGTTGTTGTTTTGTAAGCCATCTCAACAACATTATTATTATTATTATTATTATTATTATTATTATTATTATTATTATTATTATTAAGTAAGCTCTTTACAACTTTTACACAGAAACACCTCGGACAGTCAGAAAAATTAATATCTGTGGTGAAGATGACTCGACATCATCATCTGTGAATTTTTATGTTAGGTTTTCAAATATGGGAACATTTCAAATGTTATTACCTTTCCTCAGTTTGTCTTAATTTGTCTTAAACCTGTAACAGGATAAATAAATAGCAATCAGCTAAACTCTTTTGAATTTAATAACAAACAAACTGCTAGGTGTCACCCCCTCCCCTCCCCCGCCTCCCCCCCCCCCCCCCCCCTCCCCTCTCCTCTCCATCCATTGTCTCGTTTCCTGTGAGCGCGCACGCGCCGCTCGGTGGGCTGCTCGGCCGGTCCGTTCCGGACGGATTCCATTAATGATCCAAACGGAGGAACTCGCAGCCGCTCCAGGCTTTTACGCGGTTCCGCCTCTGACTCGGCAGCAGAAACAAACAACAGCAGCAACAATCCTGGAGTTGTTCTGATGTCAGCTGGACCGCTACCGGGCTGGAAAGCCCTCCGGTGACCGGGAGGAGAGCTGTCACCGTCCGGTCAGCTGCTCTGAGAGCTCCGCTTTGTCTTCAGACCACAACACGGTCAGTTTACGTTTGCAATGACCTGATCGAGCGCATTTGGTTGGACTTTTATTTATTTTTTTACTCTTGTAATGAAATTAAACTATTATGTTGCATTAAAATAACTTCAAATTTTCTCTAACTTTAAATAATGCCAGTTACTTCCTAATGACTCCGATTTAAATGAATCAGAAAAGTTTGTTTTTATAACAATTTCTAAGCTAAATGTATTTGTATTATTGTTTACCAACAATGAGCTGATAGGTATAAATTATGTTTATTACATCACAAACAGTGCATGGCCTTCTTGTTTTTAATGAGTGGTCTCCGTCCCCATTCTTCAAGCGCGAGAAAAACCTTTAAAAATGCTCTTATTTTGTCAAATTTAAACCAATTAGCATGCTCTGATTGTGCAACTGCTAAAAAAATCATAATGTTTATCAAGTTCAACATGGAAATAAGTAACGTGAATGATTTGATCTTGAAATGGCTTCACTATCGGCTCTTTTTAAATACTGAAAGAGGCTCTATGGAATTTTGAATGCCTTTTAAACATTTTTCTATGTAACGGTGAGAGAATAATAGTCAGAGAAAACACGTCCTTTACAAAAAAGAGTCAGAATAGCACTTTTGAATTTATTTTTCCCAATACAAATTATTTGTATGTTATGATGTAGACACCTGCAGGTGTAACAGGTGATGACTCATTTAAAGCACAACGATTTTTAACAAATGTTTTCTGATCATGTAATCTAATCTGAGGAGATTAAAATCAACCCTCTGGTGTAAAAGATGTGCTGTTTTATGGTGATTGGGAAGACAAAAACTACTTAGATCTTAATAAAACCAGTATAAAGTATCATAAAAATATAGGCCTATATAGAATAAGATATATATCAAGTAAATGTATGTTTAATGGAATACCTAGCAGCTTTTCATATTTTTAGATCATTTTTTGAACCAGTGTGTGCTAAAAAGACCCTTTAACGGGTTAAAGAAAGGCCACCCAGCCCTTATCGCCCCTGTGGCCATAATATTCTGCTCGCAGCTTTAGCCTGGCAGTTGGGACTCGGTTGGGACTGAGATGACATACATGGCGCTGCAGTCTGGTTTCAGCATGTTTTAGATCATAAACACAATTGATTTGTTTAATTTAGAGGTGAATCTCTCCTGTAGACACTAGTCTGTTAACGCACAGCAAGGAGATAGGTTTTGCTTTCGGTTCTACAAACGGACACTAGAGGGTGCTAAAAGCAACCAAAACTGCCTAGTTTCCATTTAATGTTTGTATGTTAGGTTTAACTCATTAACTGGCCAATGAAGTTGTCATTTGCATTTTGTTTACTGTGTCGGCGTCGGAACGAGTCCCCGCACCGTGAGAACAAACATCCCAGCTCTAAAGCCGATCTTTATGCGAGTACGTCACACGTCACGTGATCAGGAAGCAGAAAATCCATGTGTTAGGAGATCGTTTTGGGACGCTGCTGTAAATAAATTTAGGTACGAACCGGAAAAGCTTCTGCCGATCACAATTCAACAACGGATTATGAAAGAACGGATAATGCTCGAAACGCACAGATTCTTCCTGATGTAAGAGGTGAGTCTCCTCTTTGTTTTGTTAGTTTTGTCGTTGACGTCATCCTACCACGCAACGTTCTGTGACTCTTAAAAAAACAGTTAAAACGCTGAAAAATGCTGGCAGTGAAGGGTTTTCTGATCAGGAAACGGCTGGCAGTGAATGAGTTAAGTGCATTTAGACAGAAACTAATTAAATAAAATAATTTATTAGGTCAAAGAAAAGATGGGTTGTTAGGCTGCTATAAAAGCAGAGAAAAGCTGCTATGGGAGCCTAGATGTCAATGTGTTTTCTCAGGAATGTTGAAGCTTGAATGCTCTAACCACTTGAGAAAAATACTGCTGGGTGTGTCACGATCTGCCCCTGCCCACCTGACTGTGTTCCTCTCCTGCCATGATTACCCTTATTGTTCTCACCTGTCCCTCGTTTACCTGTCCATGTTTCCCTAATTAGCCCTCTGTATTTAAACCACCTGTTTTGCCCCTGTCCTTTGTCAGTTCATTGTTGTTGTTTGTCGGTGTCCTGTTCATCCCATCCTGCCATTAAACCATTTTTACTTTTACTGAAGCCTGCATTTTTACCTCCTGCTCAGCTCATCCACACATGGTCCATCATCTCCACCTCCTACACCGTGACAGGGTGTCACAGCGGAGCAGGGTCATTCGTCCATTTTCACTTGTGGTAAAACCCAGCGTAACATTCGGAACGAGTGGACGTGTGCATCATTCAGAAAGCACGTCTAAATTGTTGCTGGCTTGGAAAGAAGAATGGGCGAAAATAGTGACAACAATTGTTCTTTGTGAGTACAGCTCTATTTGACAGGACTGATAGGCTCACGGCTAGTCTGAATGCATCCAAGTTCCATGTGTTTTGCTCATCATGTTTTGTATACAAGCAGAGTGAAGGTTTATGAAGTATAATTGATGTGAACTGCTGTGGGGAATTGGAGCTCATTAATCCTATAGGATGTGTAGAATGTAAAAGCTGTTTCTCCAAACAGAGGCTGTTCAGGAAGCCGTCTCCAACAGGTATCATACTGGTTAGTTTTAACTGTTTCTCTGAAACACACTTTACCATTCGTGTGTGTATGGTGTTAGTAGAGAGCGATGTAAGATGTGTTTACCACAACGTCCTGAGCCTGCCCACCCCCCACACCCTCCCTGTCGTCTTGCTCCTAGCATGTGAGTAAAAGGAACAGCTGGATGTGAGCTGAGTCTGAACTCGATCCGCTCGTATCAGCGGGTCCCAGAGGCCTCTCTCTGTCACCGCTGTGTCCGGCTGTGGGGGTAAACCCTTTTAACGGTGCAGCTGTCCACAACCTGCACACAAACCCAGCCAGGGCTGAAGTCTTCAGGAAGAGCTCTTACCGATCCGCACGGCGCTCTGCTCAGATCCACAAGCGCTTACTTCTAAACAAACTAGAGGAGAAACACTCCGACAGACACCGTCAGCAGAATATGAAGCTAGTTCTGTCCGGCGGGGGTGGACTTGAGCCTGGTCTGCTTGAGTGTTGACATGTGGAGACCTGTGCATATGTAAATGTGTGTTTGGTGCAGATGGGTACAGTGAAGCCTTTCAGAGGGGCTTTGTTTGGAGGCGTGTGAAAATGTTGTAAAGATGTCATTCTGCAGCTGGGACAGAACTGGGCTGATGGACTTCTGACCCACGCCCACTGCAATGCCTTGTGTGTGTGTGTGTGTGTGTGTGTGTGTGTGTGTGTGCACGCTGACTAGAGGAGGTGAATCTAATCCAGACACAGGCTGGATTTTTACAGGCTTTGCAGCAAAAGCAGACCACCTGGGTGCTGGCTGAGATCTGTTTATTACCTCAAAGATAACAACTGGGGACGTTTGTATTACCTCTGCATTTTTAAACTAGAACATTTGAGATTAAAACAAGATTAAAGAAGAGTAACAGAGTCTGAATGACACATGAGGCCCCATGCTGGAACCTGTAGTTGCACAGGATGTTGAGAATACAGTAAAGGAGGTATTTGCTTTTATTTGGAATCCTTTTTCCCTTTAAAATCGTGTCCTAAACTCTATCAGTGTTTCCACCATCACTGTGACTAACAAAAGCAACCTGAAGGCAGAGAAACACCTTAAGGAATTTACCTCCTGATGTTTGCATTCGTTGTTTGTAAGTGATAAAATATTACTGGTTTTTAAAACTCAGATTGCTGCAGCAATTGGGGATTTCACATCTGAACAAAGTAGATTTTAGCTTACACGACAATGTTTATTTTGTTCCTTTGAAGGTGGGTTTTAATTATGAGCGATGATGGTAGAACAAGAGCAAAACACAGAGGCAGAGTATGTTATCACTTCAGTAATTTCAGCTTTGACTTAGAGCTGCTCACTTAATCGAATTTTACTCCCAATTACGATCTGAGTTTTGAACAATTATAAAAACAAAATAAGCCGATTGTTTGCTCCTCCCTCTTGCGCTGCCCGAGTTGCAAATCAAGCGCTCCTCCCACAGCGTTGCCAACTTAGCAACTTTGTCGCTATTTCCAACAGCTTTTCAAACCTCCTTCTTGACTTTTTAAATCTTAAAAGTACCAGGCGAACACCCAAGGAACATTCCTGGTAACTAGGGCTGCAACTAACGACTATTGTAATAGACGACTAGTCACCGACTATTGAAACGATTAGTCGATTAATCAGATAATTATTAAATGTTTCTTGAATTTAGCGCGAGATTGCTTTCATTTTGTGAAAAATGTTAATAAACACAAGAAAGATGGGTACTTCAATGGAAATGCATATTTTATTGAACTTTGCTGCTGATAGGCCGATTCATACTAACAGTTGTCATGGTCTGTGTCTGCATCTCCCTCATGTGTCTCCTTGTGTGCTCCATTCTCCCCTAAGAATCCCCCTTATGTGTCTCTTTGTGTCCCTCATGTGTCCCCTGGTCTTCAGCCCTCCAGAGATATCTCTCCCAGGTCCTGTGTTCCTTTAGTCTTCCCCAGTCACCCCTCTGCAGTTTTTATAGTCGCCTTCACCGTATCCAGTTCCAGCGGTGGTCCCGGAGGTCGCACCTTATCCATTTCCAACAGTGGTCCTGGAAGTCGCACCGTATCCAGTTCCAGCGGTGGTCCCGGAGGTCGCACCATATCCAGTTCCAGCGGTGGTCCTGGAGGTCGCACTGTGTCCAGTTCCAGCGGTGGTCCCGGAGGTTGCACCGTGTCCAGTTCCAGGGGTGGTCCAGCCCGTTTACGAGGTCCAGCCATTCCAAGAGGCTCCGGTCCAGCCCGTCCAAGAGGCTCTGCCCAGTCCGGTGCCTCCAGTCCAGAAGTCGATACCCCCAGTCCAAGGGTTGATGCCCCCCAGTCCAAGGGTTGATGCCCCCCAGTCCAAGGGTTGATGCCCCTCAGTCCAAGGGTTGATGCCCCCAGTCCAAGGTTTGATGCCCCCAGTCCAAGGGTCGACGCCCCCAGTCCAAGGGTCGACGCCTCCAGTCCAAGGGTCGATGCCTCCAGTCCAAGGGTCGACGCCTCCTGTCTCGAAGTCGACACCTCCTGTCTCGCAGTCAATGCCTCCTGTCTCGAAGTCGACACCTCCTGTCTCGAAGTCAACGCCTCCTGTCTCGAAGTCGATGCCTCCCCCTCCAGCTCTGAAGTCGACGCCTCCCCCTCCAGCTCTGAAGTCGACGTCTTCCCCTCCAGCTCTGAGGTCGACTTCTCCCCCTCCAGCTCTGAGGTCGACTTCTCCCCCTCCAGCTCTGAGGTCGACTTCTCCCCCTCCAGCTCTGAAGTCGACGTCTCCCCCTCCAACTCTGAAGTCGACGTCTACTCTCCAGCTCTGAAGTCGACGTGTCCTGAGCCGCCACTGGCAGAGTCTACTTCCCCACAAGAGTCTACGCCCCAGTCTCCAGAGTTCCTGTCTCCAGAGTCTATGTCCCCACAAGAGTCTACATTCCTGTCTCCAGAGTTCCTGTCTCCAGTGTCCCAGTCCCCAGAGTCCCATGTGTCCTGGTCCCCAGAGTCCCATGTGTCCTGGTCCCCAGAGTCCCATGTGTCCCAGTCCCCAGAGTCCCATGTGTCCCAGTCCCCAGGGTCCCATGTGTCCCAGTCTCCAGGGTCCCATGTGCCCCAGTCCCCAGGGTCCCATGTGCCCCTGTCTCCAGGGTCCCATGTGTCCCCGTTACCTGAGTCCTTTCCTCGTCCTCTTCCTCCGAAGTCTCGTCCTCTTAAGTCTCGTCTTCTGAAGTCCCTTCCTCGTCTTCTGAAGTCCCATCCTCTGAAGTCCCTTCCTCGTCCTCCTCCTCCAAAGCCCCCGATCCCTGGATTTCCCAGCTCCCGGCTCCTGGTTCCCCGTCGCCGGCCCCCCCAGAGCCTCCTGCTTCCGTCTCCTGGTTCCCCGTCACCGGCCCCCCAGAGTCTCCTGCTCCCGGCTCCTAGTTCCCCGTCGCCGGCCCCCAGAGTCTCCTGCTCCCGGCTCCTGGTCCCCCGTTGCCAGCCTCCCAGAGTCTCCTGTTCCCTGGTCCCCCGTCGCCGGCCTCCCAGAGTCCCCTGGTCCTTGGTCCCTCCTCGCCCGCCCTTGTGGGTTGTTTTTTGTTTTTGGTCTCTCCTCTCCCGCCCTGTGGTTTCTCGTGTCCTGTTTTGTCTTGTCTTTTGCTTGTTGTTTGTCTGTCTTGTGGGCGTCTGGTACCCGCTCCTTGGGGGGGGGGGGGGGGGGGGGGGTACTGTAATGGTCTGTGTCTGCGTCTCCCTCATGTGTCTCCTTGTGTGCTCCTTTCCCCCCTAAGAATCCCCCTTATGTGTCTCTTTGTGTTCCTCATGTGTCCCCTGGTCTTCAGCCCTCCAGAGATATCTCTCCCAGGTCCTGTGTTCCTTTAGTCACCCCTCTGCAGAACTCTGCAATTCCTTTAGTCACCCCTCTGCAGTTTTTATAGTTTCTGCTTTTCATTTTATTAGTCTCTTTAGTATGTTTTTCCCACCGGTCTTTGTAGTTTTCCTTCCTTTTAGAATATTAGTTATGTGGTTATGTCGTTCTCCTGGTACTCAGGACTTTGGTTTTTTGCCTCCTGCCCCTTTTGGATTTTTGGTTTGTCATCCTAATAAAAGGATTTTACTTTTAAACCGCTCCTGCCTCGTGTCATCTGGTGTTGTCTGCATCTTGGGTCCTAAACTCCTCTTAACCTGCAACGTGACAACAGTAAATAAAAATGCCCCGTCTTACACCTATTTGGCACAGTGCCCAGTCAGTATAGACATAAATGCATAAATAAAATTAAAATACTTTTGTCAGGCACAGTGGGGCATAACATTAAATCTCTCTTTTTAAAAAGTGAAAATAAGTTTAAAACAATGTACAACGTACATCCGAAACAAAACATATTGGCTTTTGTGTTATTTAAATCTTACCGAGGTGATCAGACTAGGGCTGCAACAAACGATTATTTGGATAATCGATTAATCGGATGGGGTCTCGACACGATTAATCGATTAATCGGATTACATGGGGACATTTTTAAAAACTGCTAGGGAAACGTTATTTCTCTCCTTCCTTCACTTTATTTAACACAACATTATTAGAAAACAGTTCAATAGCAGAAAAACAACATGCCATCACCTAAATTGTCTTATATGGTGTATAGACAGAGACCCTAAGCTACATCTATCTGTGACCTAAAATGCTTGGTCCAATTAAGCAGCTTAAGTGCAATTCTCATCTGTTTTGTTTGATCTCATCTGCAGACATTTATTATAACTGGGGATGTCAAACAACTAATTTTTAAATGTAATTAAATATAGGCTGTGAATTAATCAAAATTGATCACTATTTCCAAAAA